AAAAAAAAAAAAAAAAAAAGAATTTGTTAAATAACTATTTCAATAGTAACCACTAAAAGAGTAGAAAGTATAAAATTTCTAACTGTCAGAAAGGAAAAAAAAAATCACTCTCCATAACTATGTTATTTGTGGTTTATGAGACAGCATCAAGTAGCAGAACAGACTAAATTTATATTAAACATAACTTAATAAAATTATCCCAAAGGAGATAATTCTTCAGGTTTGAAGTGTGAACTGTATACACAGAAGAGGCATGTCACATGTCACTCACCTTACGTGGTGGTGTGGATTTCCCAGAATCCAAGTCGAGATCTAGGTATTCCACCTGTTTGTCCCCTTTGGGCTTGATCATAGGGCTGCTTCCTCCATCAAGACTGTTACTGCCAAAGAGATTCTGAAAGTATTAGACAACAAAATCAACAGTCAGACATTCACCAGACATACCACTCATACTGTTGGACATCTACGGAAGCCTAAATCTTTGCTTTCAAGAGGACATAGCTTAAAAAGTTAAACAACCTTTTAGGATAGAAAATAAGTAATATTTAAAAAACCGATTAAAGCCTAGCTTAGAGCAAGCTAAACGTAGTTTCAAAAGTTAAACTTGGTTCACACTAAGATTGAGACATCAAGAGATAGTTTGCTATGATAACCCAACTTGAACATTATTAAAATTATATCTGTACTCAATTATGTGTTTACAGGATCTTTATATTCCTTGCTTTCAAATTAAATTTTTAAAAAACTTTCTGCATTTTATTTAAAGGCTTTCACACTAAAATTTGTTTGACTCCATTGGCTAAGTCTATTTTGTTTCAATCATCTGGATTTTTTACCACTTAATTTCCTTAGCCTGATCTTTTCCTTCCTAAAAGGCATACATTTTAAAGAACGTATTTAAGAGAGAAGGAAAATTATTACCTAAGGAAGGCCTGAGATACAAGAAGAAGTGATAAAGAAGCCGCTAAACATGCAGAAAAACGTAAATAAGCATAGTTTATATAATAAGAGCACTAATAATACTAACTTGTGGGTTTAAAAAGAATTAAAATTTTGGACAAAAATAGTGCTAAGATTTTAAAGAGAGTAGAGTGAAGACAACTCTGGAATTTGTAAATAACCATTTCAGATGATTTGTACAGTAGGACTACTCTCTAAAAAAAAGGTAAAGAAGGTGGGAAGATAGATGACAGCAATAAACAACAGGAACAAAAAACTTGAGGCAGAAAAATGAAAGATCAATGCTAAATAGAAAGAAAAAGCTGGCATGAACCTAAGTCCCTATATATTCCCTCCACTCTAATTACAACAGGGTTCTATTATACATGTGCTCAAACAAGTGACTTGTTTCCATGCCTTACTCCTTTTAACCCAATCTAGAAATGTTCTTGGCTTCTCATATGCAAGATTGTATTTCTCATTAGGGATTTTCATCCTTGTGCACTGTTGATATTAATGCTTATATCTTATCTCATACTTTTGAAGAAAACCATAATGATTTAACAAAGTTAAAAATTTGTGCGTATTATGATGAATAAAACAGTTTGAAAACTGCATACATCTGGTGGTTCTGTTGATTCTTTTTATGTTGCTACTTCATTTCTTTTTGCTTAGGTTAAACAGAAAAAACTGTGCCTTAGGGAAAAGACACTTCTAGGGAAATATAGACACTATTCTCTCATTTCGTAGCAAAGCTGCTAATAGCTGGTATGGAACCTTTTTGCAAATTATTAAAAGGTGGTGCTTGCACTGGGGTGACACGGCTCTGTGCTGTGGGCGAGTGCAGTGTGGTGAGCAGCACATAGCCTGAATTTCATATAATCAGGTATGCAGTATGTTTATGCAGTAAACAACCTGCACAACTAAATGTAATGTTCCTATTTGAAGAAACAGATTTTTTAAACCAAATTTATCAATTACTGCAAATAAAACATTTAAAAAATACAGAAAACGGCTAGGCGCGGTGGCTCAGGCCTGTAATCCCAGCACTTTGGGAGGCTGAGGCGGGCGGACCACCTGAGGTCAGGAGTTCGAGACCAGCCTGGCCAACGTGGTGAAACTCCATCTTTACTAAAAACGACAAAAATTAGCCGGGTGTGGTGGTGGGCGCCTGTAATCCCAGCTACTTGGGAGGTTGAGACAGGCTAATCACTTGAACCCAGGAGGTGGAGGTTGCAGTGAGCCAAGATCGCGCCACTGCACTCCAGCCTGGGCAATAGGGAAACTCTGTCTGAAAAAAACAAAAAATCAAAAATAACATGTAGAACACAAAAAATGTAAGCAAGTTTTGGTCCTCAATATAAATAGTAATCCCTCCCTTTTTTCTAATTCATGGAGAAACTGAAATCATCATGAAACTTTTTACCTGAATGACTCTATATATCATTGTCACATAAAATCAGCCATGAGTGTGTGGAAAATTCTATATTCAAATGTGATCAGTGAAAGACCCATAACCTCCATTTCTCTGATTAGAAATATCTAGAAGTGTTCACAGTATTACAAGGCTATAAAAGAAATGTATACATTCAAAAGACCTGCATGCATTATACCAGTAAGCTGCTCCTAAACAGAATTTCTCAGGGTGGCTAGTTAACCTATTTTATGTCTGCTATTACTAGAACTGAACATTTTTCCATCTTTAAGTATTGTTAACATTTGTGTGTCTACAAGGAAGTCTACTTGCTCTTGATTTAATCTCCAGTGGGAACAGCCTGTCTGTATTCTAGCCTTTCACCCAGTATTTTCCCAAAACAGTTTAGAGAAACTCTAAGATTCTACAAGGTATTAAAAGTGTTCTTTGAATTAAATAACAAAGCAGTAGTGCTAGTTTTTTTTTTTTTTTTTGAGGTGGACTCTTGCTTTGTCGCCTGGGCTGGAGGGAAGTGGCTTGATCTTGGCTCACTGCAATCTCTGCCTCATGGGCTCAAGCAATTCTCCTGCCTCAGCCTCCTAACTGGGATTACAGGCGTCTGCCACCACACCTGGCTAATTTTTGTATTTTTAGTAGAGACGGGGTTTCACCATGTTGGCCAGGCTGGTCTCACACTACTGACCTCAGGTGATCCGCTTTGGTCTCCTAAAGTGCTGGGATTACAGGTGTGAGCCACCACACCTGGCCTAGATTTTTAAAAAATTATGTAAAATCATTTAACATATTTTTGTTGTTATTATCACATAACAATATGTCTGCCTTTAGTTATGGTTTACCATCATTTGAATTTCAGGTGTCACGTTCAGAATTCACTTGATAATGCATGAGTTTTGATCCAAAATTAAAGAAGTTTGTTAAATATTTGCTATAATTCTCATATTCTTTTCTAAGGGACAGTTGAATGGACTATGATGAGTCCTTGTATTTGGCAGCATGAGGAGATGGAATTGGCACTGTTGATTTTTCTGTTGTACTTGGTAGATAGGTATGTCCTCCTGGGTCATTTGTGCTTTTTTCTAATACATAGGACCTAAGTACTTCAGAAATTCATCACAGGCCAGGTGCAGTGGCTCACGCCTGTAATCCCAGCACTTTGGGAAGCCAAGGCAGGCAGATCATTTGAGGTCAGGAGTTTGAGACCATCCTGGGCAACATGATGAAACCCTATCTCTATCAAAAACACAAAAATTAGTCGGGAGTGGTGGCGCAAACCTGTCATCCCAGCTACTCAGGAGGCTGAGTCAGGAGAATTGTTTAAAACCCAGGAGGTGGAGGCTGCAGAGAGCTGAGATCACGCCACTGCATTCCAGCCTAGGTGACAGAACGAGAATCTGTCTCCAAAAAAAAAAAAAAAGAAATTCACCACATTGTGTTTATTTAGACACCTCTACTGGTGACAAGTAAAAGTACCTTTGTGGTTTAATGGCATTAGGTGTAAAAAAAAAAAAAAAAAAAAAAAATGGGAGGCCGGGCAACGCGGAGGAGAATCTGATCCTTATCAAAGTTTGACACAAATCCTTTTTCATAATTAAAACTTTACAGAAAATATAAACCCTGATATTTGAGGTCCTGGCCTGGTAAAATGTTTTCAAAAAAAAAAAAAA